ATTTGTAGGTATAACTAGTTTTGTGTAGTCAAGGAGTAGTGACACCAGGAGGAGGCAAAGTATGTTTCAAAGGCCAGGTAGCAAACTGGGCAGAGATTTAACTCTGATTGCTACTAATTCTCTGCATATATTAATAGACCTCTGGCTTCAGTTTCTTATCAGAACCATTGTTCTGTATTTTAGGCCAAAAATCTTGACTTGTCTGTTTCTCTCACTTCTATCAGGAAATTCTGTTCCGAATATATCTGCAATCTGATCACTTCTCACTTCTCGCTGCTGGTCAAGTCACCATTTTATTTTGCCTGGATTGGTGTATATTGCCTCTGTGCTTCCAATCTTGTCTTTGCTTGGTACAGCAGCCAGAATGATGCTGCTCACTGCTCTGCTTAAAATCCTCCAAGGGAGTTACCTTAGAAAGCCGTGTCATCTCCTTGAAATACCTGTTAGAGTAGCAAGAATGGGAATGTACAAGAAGGGGAAGAGCCCCAGATTATTTCCCCCAAACTCTCTCTTCTCATCTTCCCTGTCACCATTCTCTTTTTCTTATGAGTGCTAGTCACACTCACATCCTTGCTATTCCTTGAAGAGCCCAAGAGGCTCCTTGCTCTTACTTAGTTCAAAATGCTTTTCTTTCAGGTATCTGCATGATTTATTCCCTCTCTCAGGCCCCTGAAATGTCTTCCCTCACCTACCCTGTATAAAATAGCTACTCCCTGGTTTCTTCTACAGAGGGCTTATGACTTATTTATTGTCTATTTCACTCCACTCCTTGTTAGGGTTTCTCTTCATCCTTCCTGAATGCCTGCTCAGCAGTTAGGCCTTCAGTAACTGTTGAGTGACTGGCTAGATTTCTCATTTCTTCCCTAGTGGCTTTTTCCTCTGCTGGAGAGCTATGCATGCCACCCTTGTTCTTTGGCGAGGGAAAAAGTAAGGCTCTCTTCCAGGTACCAAATATTTCTACAAAGGTAATCTGGGAGCTTCTTCCCCCTTTTCACTGCACAGATTTTTGTGTTCTATTATTCTTTACCAGTCAAGCAAATGAGTTTGTTTTCTAAGTAACTTTCCTGTGTGTGAGATCAATGCTTTCCTTTTTCCTGCATTTGGTATCATTTTATGTATATACTTTAGCATTTTGTCATTTATTTCTTCATTTGGTTGGCATGTAGTTATTATAGCAGATATTACAAACCAGGCTGGATCCCAGACTGGAAGTTAGGGCTTAAAGAGACAGAGAGTCTGATTTTCCTTTGAGGGGTTTAGAGTTTCAGCGTATGGTCAGAAGTGTCAACTGTTGGGACAGGCAACTGCTATAAGGAATGCAGAGAGGGAGGTCAAAGCAAACGGGATGGTTCACTTAGGCCTACTTGAGAAGGGTTGAGAATCTTGCCAGGTAAGGAGGTAGCTAAAGGCTACTGTGATGGTAGGGAATGGTTTGGGCAAAGGCATGGAGAGTTCTGGTTTGTTAAGAGAAGAACAAATCGGTGCAAGTTGTTGGAGCTTAAAGTATAATGCAGGCTGTGGTGAGGGACAAGGCCCTGATAGTTATGTAAAGGCTTAATCTAGGCACTTCTTAAGGATTATGTGTATCCTGTATAGAGGTTAGACTTCCATCCTGCAACCCATGGATTTGGGCATATGTATCACATATGAAGGGGAATAGGCGAGGACGTGGCCTGGAAGGTTTTTTCTTTTCCATGCCTCGTCCCTGAGGCAAGGAGAATATTTTCTGTCATGTATTAATATATCTATATCCATGCAGATTATTTTCTCCTTTATATTAAGTTAATAGTGGGTGGCAGGGTTTAATTTTGATTCTCCTCACATGTACTTTTTGAGATAGATGCTTATTTAAACCTTTACTGAATGATGATCACATCTTTATCTGTAGCCCTGATCTGTTTTAACCTCTTATTATCCCATAGCATGTTTTCATCTTTAATTTTTTTTTAATTTTTTAATGTTTATTTATTTTGATAGAGAGACAGAGAGCGAGCAGGGGAGGGACACAGAGAGGGAAAGACACAGACTCCGAAGCAGGCTCCAGGCTCTGAGCTGTCAGC